TTTTTTTTTTTTTTTTTTTTTTCTTTTTGCTTTTGTTGTCTTTTTTTCAACTTGGATCGAATCAGTGCTGGGCCATGTCACGATCCGCCAGCAAGCAAGCCCGTTTGACCTTCACGACCATGAATAACACCGTACGCCAGTCCGCGGGTCTGCACCTATCAGCGGGGGGTAGGTTTGAGGGCGGCCGTTGGGGAAAGGTATGGTACGGTAACACTAAACACAAATGGGGACAGGCTTCTGGCCTCACGGCCTTCTTTGCCTTAGTCGGGTTACTAGTGGTGCCAGGCCAGGATGGATCGGGGATAGTGGTGGTCCTTAGCAGCGCATAGTCCCTCGAGCTGGGCCAGCTCACCCGATCTTTGGTTTGACCGCCATCTACGTACGTGGTGGTGACCTGCTTCTGTAGGTACCAACCTTACCACTTCACGCGAGTCAGTGGGTATGTTCCTGCAAGGCGCGGGGAAACCTAAGGTATGGAGGCCCGTCTGGCAGACTGGCAGTCTGCAGGACCGGCCTCAGTCCAGCCTGCCTGTGGGATGTGGCATCAACCGGGGGGGCCCTGGTATCGATCCGCTCGGATGGTACGGAGTATAATGTAGATACTAGATAGTCAACGAAGTTTGGTACGGGAGCTCCATCACCCCCTGAGCCAGTGCTTCAACCCCATGTCTCGATAGATATTAGATAACAGCACCAGTTGCCGCGCGGGTTCCTTCGGTTCGTGTCTTCACTCAGGGGTAAAACAACGCTACTTGGGGCGAACCACGGTTCCTCGGCTGCCCGTGAGTCGCACCCCCAATTGGGATCATTCCAATCCTGCCCAGCCATGTCATCATGGTCGGCTATCCCTGTCCGGTCCCTGGCCACTCCAGGGCCATCCATGGCTGTTCATGGCTCCATGTGCGACAGCCCCTTTGATCTATTCCAGAAGGCCTCGTTGATATCAATCGGGTCCGCCCAGAAGCTCCTACAGCAGGCTCCCCTGTACCTTATCGCTCCATTGGAGGAGGGTTGCAAATCCAACTGCATCCCCGAGTATCCTGTAAACGGATCCTTGCAAGCCCGCTTCGGCGCTACTTATGTCTTATGGGCTTGTCTTCGGATCTTGGGTATCTTTTGATATTCGACAACTATTAGATGCTCACAAGTCCAGTCCCAGTACAAGCTTTCCGTTATGTCCGACAAATAATACATACATGGCTAAAAGAGGACAGATTAATGTGCGTGAGATTTCCGCGAATATCGAGCAGCACTCTAATTCGAGCAAGTCATATCGAACTTGGCCTTGCGGTCGGCGGTAAAAAGTCCCCAGTGCTTCTCATCCATGGACTGGCCGTTGTCGCCGGTACTGTTGGGCTTCCAAGCCTCATCAAAGGCCTCGAAGTAAAAGACGTCAGTGCCTTTGGCCAGCATTTTGCACACAGCTGACTTATAATACTGCTCGGCATTCTTGGTGCCAGCTTTGGCAGCACCATAGTCGGATCCACCATCTATAAATCATCAGTTTATCATCCTTTTGATGAATACGGCGGAAGGGACGTCAATGCATCTTACCGGTAGGCCAGCCCGTCTCCCCGTTTCCAAAGCGGATCTTGCCTGCATTAGCACCAGCGATCTGCTTAATGTGGTTCTCGGCCTGTGACATGTCTTCAAAGTAGGTTGCAGGAGCGTTGTTGATATCCTTATTCTGCCAGTATGCGAACCCGTTGGCCAAACTTCATAGAGGTTAACATCATCCACGTACTGGCAGAGTCAAGAGATAACTTACAAGTAAGTGACTCCCCCTTGAATGATGGGATCAGCTGTGCCATCTGCAAATTTGTTCCAGCTGTCAACGGTACCGACAGTCACCGTCTTGAACTGGTTCTGCACTTGTTGGATCCGGCTTAGGAGTTTCTGGGCAGTGATATTTCCGCGGTAGAGACATTCCGAGCCGACGGTAATGGCAGTCACGACATCTTCATTTCCGGGGACATACTGCTTCAGAGCGTTGAAGTCCTCATCGAAAGATTGGTCATAGTCAGGCCTATCCATCGGATGTTAGTACCACAAGCCAACATCGGTACCTGATCCGTTGGGTTAGTCCTTACCAGACACCCAGAAGGACTTTGAATCCCTTGGCCTTTGCAGCGGGAATGATATTCTGGGCGGTCGCGCAGTTGCTTGCCGAATAGGTGCGAACCAAATTAGTCACGCCCTTAAGAGCTTCAAAGTCGGCTTCGTAGTCACTCGTCGTCTTGCACTGAGAATCAGCGTTCTTGTTGCCCAAGGCGAGCCCCAGGGTGCCCCTGTTAGCAGACACGACAGGAATAGCGGCCAGCAAGGCCGGAAGTAAGCTAGTGACACGCATGCTGAAGTGTGTTGTTGTTTCACTAGAAGATTCTAGAGGGGCAGGGTAACGAGAAGAGTAGGTGGACGATGGAAGGACGGGTGTGGAAGAAGGAATGAGAATAGGAAGCTTTCTTTGGCTTTTCTATGATGCAGAGGGGGAAAGGAGACTCTATAAAAAGAACGGTTGTTCTTGGGTGCATGTAAGCTGTGGGATAGAAGGCGCGAGAGGGAAATGATTGACGGCCTGGAGTGGGAATAGAAAGAACTGTACGTCAGACTGTGGGACACATACACTACACAGTGCTTGACTGAGTGACTAGTGCCGGATACAAACAATGAATAACGTGAACTTGTCTAACAAACGAAGGAAGATACCTATTCTCTATCGGATGAACTGGCTTTCACTTCCTATACCCAAATAACTAAACTGTCCCTGAGAACCTCCGTACCAGGCCGTTTTAATCCGCCAGCCCGAGACCCAGCGACCTTACTGAAAGGCGCCAAGGGTCTATCCTCCTTGCTATTCCGGGGTCTCCAGCCAAGGCCTCCACAGCCGGGGCGTCAGGGTCTGGACTCTGGTCCCTGTCGCTCACTCTCGTAAGTAAGGTTATTGCCACCCCCAGGCCCGGTTTTTCTCGTTCTTCTTTCCGCCATTGGCTGCAATAACAATACTAATCACACTGATGCTAGACAGGTACGCATCTCTTCGGTGATCTCTTCGGTGCAGCTTTTCTATGGCCACTTAGCCAGGATCGAAACACTAGTGTTTCGAGGGAAAAAGAAAGAATGGCTCCCACCCGGATTTCTGCAAGATTGGGTTCCGTTCCGGTTAACACTCAACTCTATGTTGACGATCGTGTCTTCTTCAATCTTCCACCTGTGAACTCACAAGAATGAGGGATCATCTCTTGGCAATATTGAATCAGGGGTACTTCAATAATCGATGATGTCACACGGAGGACCCTTAACGCGTACTCCGTACACCGTACCGAGTAACCTTCAGAATAGGTGTCACAATGTGTGAATGGCAGCAGTGTTGTTGTTGCTGGTAATCCCGCAGATACCCCGATCAATCATTTCCATGAGAAAAGCCTCCTTGCCCATTGTGCTGGCCAACAAGTCATCAAGGACCGCCGTCATGGCATCGAATATCGTGAATTTCCCGATCTAGACCGTTGAGCAATCTTCACTGGCAAGTTCGCCTTGTCTGGGTTAGTGGAACGTTTTCTGATCAAATAATGGCAAATTATTAATTTTCCTCGCTCTACCTACCTCGAGGAATCTGTCAAATTACTGATCTCTATTGTCAGGTTATATTGTGAATGGTTTGCTGCAGAACAGGTACCAGAACTCGATTCGATGGCGGAGACCGACATTATAACTACCTGTCTCCATCCATTTTGGAAAGGCACATGGCCCTCGATATCCTAAGATACACTTGGCGGAGGCAGGAGAAGCGGCATGATTTTCCACTCTCGCTACCCTGACCCCGGCTTCTTGTGCTGTTGTCATGAATGAGGCATGTTATGAACGACATTGTGGGTTATGGGCATCTGATTGACTAGGGGCTTAGTCTGGATAGATGTCGGGTATCTACGACACAGTTGGACAGTGTAAATCGACTGCAAGCCTCTGTGTGCAAAGATAGCTTCTATGAACCGACTAGGATTATGCCGACGTGACTGATAAGCAGTCAGCGTAGCCCGCCGAATCATCTCCAGGAAGTCATAGATCGGGCATTTCAAGTCAGACGGGTTAATACTGGCAGTCTGAGCGGAAAGGCAAGCCGCAGAGTAGATGGGCCCGATTGTAGGCCATCACATTACCCCAGCTCGTCTGTCAAGACAATCACTGACAGTTATTTAGGACCAACTTGGTTCAAGTAAAATAGTACAAGGGTCGAAATAAATGCACCTGTTTCGTTGTGATGAAGTACTCGTAGAGCCTTATATACTCCGTCCGGACTAGTGCCGGCTGATTAGGAGGTGGTCCGAGCGCCCAGAATTCCCAGCGCAGCCCAGAGACCACCTTGCGCGTCGGAGTCGACCAAGTACACCTGGCAAGCCCAATCTCCACCACCTCTGTCCTCTCCTTCTCGAGGGCCTCGAAGCACTACCTACTCTCGGACTCGGAGTCGGCTAGACAATTTCCCATCCACCATGCGATTCTCCGCAACGACCCTCCTGATCACGGCGCTGGCGTGGTTCACCACGGTGACCGCACACAACATCCAGCTCCGGTCTCACTCCCGAGAATGCTTCCACGAGTCGCTGCACAAGGATGACAAGATGACTGTGTCATTCCAGGTCGGTGACCGGGAGTTCGGCGGCAGTGGCAATCTGGAGATCGATTTCTGGGTAGGTTCCGATCCCACTAGCGGTCTATCTCCGGGACTTTGGCAGCTAGAAGCATACCCGGAGAAGATCGACCTTATACCTTTGAGGAATCATCGCTCACATATTTTCATGTCTGCAGGTTGAGGACCCCCAGGGCCACCGTCAGTACTACAAGCACGCCATCTCGTCGGAGGATTACTCGTTCGACGCCCACGCGGACGGCAAATACGTCTACTGCTTCAGCAACGAGGGATGGGCCTCGAACTCCAAGGAAGTGTCTTTCAACGTCCACGGCATTGTCTACGTCCCTGAATCGGAATTGGCGCAGGATCCCTTGGAGGCCGAAGGTAGGATACCACCTGGGCGACCGTGTGCGACCGTTGAGCTAACCACTGTTCACAGTCCGCAAACTCTCGGAGGCTCTGGCCCAGGTCAAGGATGAGCAGTCGTACATTGTTGTCAGAGAGCGGGTTCACCGGAACACTGCGGAGAGCACCAACGCGCGGGTCAAGTGGTGGAGTATCTTCCAGCTGGCTGTGCTGATCGGCGAGGGTGTTTTCCAGGTGTGGTGGCTGAAGAGATTCTTTGAGGTGAGTTTACTCCATGATTCCCTCGATAAGAAGTAAAAGAGCTAACCAGGAGGATGAACAGGTCAAGCGTGTTGTCTAGACTGATTACTTACGAGCGTGATATTATCGGGGATTTACCTTGGCATTCTTATAACTGAATTATGGAACCTTTTTTTTTTTTCCATGAATAAGATCATCTGGATGATACTTAGTCTGGAGATACACCTAAATAAACTATCTGTATACAACCACCACTACAAAAGTCGACCCATAACCCAAAGCACATGACCTTTCCATTCCAGCGGGAACTACGGAATCCCCCGTACCTAAATTTCTAACCCACCCACCCTAAAATAGCAAGTAGCTACTCATATGACGGGATGCTCAGGTCCCCGACGGCGATACAGACACAAGCATTACATCTCTACCTAGCTCTGACCCCGCACGACCCCAAACAAACAACAATCCTGCCGACACCATGAGCTTACAATCCAATCTCTGAGCTCACTCAATCTATCCGAACTGAAGCTCCTCTAATCCATCTACACCTACCTTCATAATCTACCTAATTAATTCCCCCATGGACTTCAACACAAACACAAACACAAACACATCCACCCATCCACTCGATACCTCCGACCCCCTCTTCTACCTCTGCTGGCGTCGCCAATCATGCAATAGCTGTTTAAAGGGCGATGTGCCCTGTAGTTGGTGTGCGGTGGTATGTTCATCCATCCCATCCCAATACCCGCCATCATTACCTTCCTACCTAATACTCACCTCATTCCACCCTCAATCCATCCATCAATCCTCACCCCCAACCCTTCCCCCCCATTTCCTCAACACACCCCATTCCCAAACACCAACACTAACAAGTAACATAGTCATCAACCTGCATCCCCAACCCCACCTCCATCCCGATCCTCGCCCCTCTTCACTCCTCGCAGATCTGTCCCCTGGGGTCCAAAGAGCGCTGGGAGCTCCGCGCCGTGCCGTTCGGATGCGGAGTCAGCACGACGACATTTTTGACGGGCGTGGGGTCTGTTGCTGGGACGGTGGTGGCGTTGGGGGTGATGGTTTTGGTGGTTTGGGTGGTTAGAGGGTTGGGGAGGAGGTGGAGGAGGAAGGGCGGTGTGGGTGGCGGTGGGCAGAGTGGGAGGAGGGGGAGGAGGGATTTGGG